TTTAGCAATTATGTCTTACAACCAGATTAAGGAACAGTTTGTGAGCTATCTTAAGTAGAGAACTCGTTTTAAATTTTCTAATTTTTTTATTTGAAAAAAAGTTTTACTTAAAGCACTTTTTCTACTCAAAGGTAAGTTACCTAAAACAGAGTAAATTAAAAAACAAAAACTTAAAAAATATTAAAAATAAAAATAAAAACTTTAACATGAAGCAAATTTTGCCCATGTAATCAAATTATATGAAATTAGTGTAACTAATTTCTACAAGATCTAACCGATGCTTACCATTTCAATTAGTTCTATTTATGCAGCCGATTAAGTACCATCATATGGCCTTGCCACAGCAGAAAAAGAAACTTTATGCCTTTTTCTTTCAAACACCCCTACGTAGCAAACAAAAAAACCTGTTCAATATATTCTTACAATTTTGTGTGTGTATTTATTTTTATGTCAGAAATAATTACCTTGGGTTATACCTTTGTATCTGTTGCCTCATTCTATTTCTTCTTCTAAGATTCAAATACACATATGCTGAATCTCCTTTTCTGATTTCCACATCATTTTCTCTAATGTGTTTTAACATTTTTATTCACTTTGATAAATTCCACCCACTTTTTCCATTTCTAGCTTCCCTGTCCTTTATTTTGTTTTCCACAGTCTCTACTGTCCCTTGTGATCCTTCTAATTTCACCTTCATTTCAGCGATGGTTTTATTTTCTTACCTTATTTTTCTTTCTGCTCAATCAGCTTACATTGCATTTTCTCATGCGGCTACACTATCTCTTCCCTGACCTCTTCTATCACTGCTTTGTGCTCTCAGTGGTAAATACTTCCAAAAAGTGTTTTATTTATTTATTTTTTTAATTTTTTTAACGTTTTATTTATTTTTGAGACAGAGAGAGACAGAGCATGAACAGGGGAGGGGCAGAGAGAGAGGGAGACACAGAATCGGAAGCAGGCTCCAGGCTCTGAGCCATCAGCCCAGAGCCCGATGCGGGGCTTGAACTCACGGACCGCGAGATGGTGACCTGAGCTGAAGTCGGATGCCCAACCGACTGAGCCACCCAGGCGCCCCCAAAAAGTGTTCTAAATTAACAAAATGGTTGGAGATGATTTTCAACTCCCTTACAGAAGTATTTTTTCTGTTGAGTATGCGTTATCTGTCCTTGGTTTTTCTGCTACTTTCTTCCTTTTTGATTCTGGAAAGGTAGGAGTGGCCTTCAGCTGAAATCCTTTTGTTAATTCATCTTTAAAGGAGGTTGGGGGTTTTTTGGATAAGCTATTTGTAAGAGGTTCATGAAGAAGGCCATAGTGACCAGTTCTTGACCAGAAAAACTTTGTCTTGATTCAGGGTTTTACATGAGAATCTTTTTTTTTTTTTTTTTTTAATTCTCAACAGCCACTGGAGACAGGCAGCCCTGAGGTTTTCAGGATGCAAAGACATCTCCTCCCCACTGCTACAGAGACAGAAAAATGCCAAAAAAAAAAAAAAAAAAAGCCTGTTTGGCTTCATCTCCCCAACTTCTTAGAATCAAATCAGGTACAGGGAAACTCCTGCCATCAGCTTTAAAAGCCCATGTCGCTTTCGCAAACAAGGGATTTTGGTTTTGCATCTCAGGGTGGGCCTCTCGGTTTCATGAAGCATCTCTTGCTGGTTCCAAGCTCTATAGCTGTGGCATCCTCGCTCCACTTCCCACACGCAGCCTGCTTATTCTCGCTGCTTTTGGCAGACATTCCGCCTATTTTGTGGCCTAGGGTTTTTAGCTCTCTTCTAGTTCAGTGGAATACAGTGTATGTGTTTTACTTTTTCCCTCTCTTTGTTGTTACTCTGGCCAACTGCCAGAAAGGAAAAAAAGAAAACGCCAACTTTATTGTACCATCCCCAGACTCAAAATCTAACAAATATGTTAAAAGGATATGTTATACAAGACAAAAACTTGAGTGTCTCACCACATTATAGAAAGATAAAAGTATGCTTTCCTTACTATTTTATTGATAAAATACTAATTTTCCACAATGCACTAATTTTTACAAGGTCATTATAGCAAATGGGCTAATTGCTTTTATTTTAAAAACTCATGTGTATGTTAGTTATAACCTAAGGCAGAAAATAATCTGATGCCTAAATGTAAAAGATACTTTTCAAGACCCAGGGCCCATCTGGGGAACAAATTATGTATATACTCATCAGTATGCCACAACCTCAGTATTTGTTTTTAAATTTTTTTTTCAACGTTTTTTATTTATTTATGGGACAGACAGAGCATGAACGGGGGAGGGGCAGAGAGAGAGGGAGACACAGAATCGGAAACAGGCTCCAGGCTCCGAGCCATCAGCCCAGAGCCTGACGCGGGGCTCGAACTCACGGACCGCGAGATCGTGACCTGGCTGAAGTCGGACGCTCAACCGACTGCGCCACCCAGGCGCCCCTCAGTATTTGTTTTTAAAGCAGACAAAGTCTTTTTAATAGTAAGGACAACACATAATTTATCATACTCCCCAGATTCCAATCGGGTTTGAAATGAGGACAGATGGCTTTATATTATATATGGATCATTCCCTAAGTAAAATTTTAACTCTAGGCAAATTCATTTTCCTGCCAGTTACTACCCTTCTCCTCACTATCCATTGTTAGGCATGTTCTGAGTGAAATGAAGTTTTACTACCAATTTTTTAAAGGAACAAGTAATATATAAAAGCCAAATTAAAATGGATTTTAAGTTACTAGTGTTTTAAATTTTGTTTAATGTTTTTATTTTATTTTTGAGAGAGAGTGAGAGACAGAGCGTGAGCCAGGGAGGGGCACAAAGAGAGGGAGACACCGAATCTGAAGCAGGCTCCAGGCTCTGAGCTGTGAGCCCAGAGCCCGACGCGGGGCTCGAACTCATGAACCATGAGATCATGACCTGAGCCAAGGTTCGATGCTTAACCAACTAAGCCACCCAGGTGCCCCTAAATTACTAGTGTTTTAAATGACTCCTTTTCACACACATAAAAGTAAATCGGTAAATGTTAATATGCCACACAAAAGCTAAGTAATGCTTAGTATAACTGACTAAACATTTAGAGGCACTGTGAGTACATATTGATAGAAAGAAACAAAAAAGAGACCTCCTCCTTACAGAATTGTAAATAAGAAATGTAGATGGAATGATGGGACTTGAAAAAATCACCATTTGATAACCACCACAGTTAGAATGACAGAATGACACTTCATAGTAAAGAAATTTGACATATGTCACTTTAAGTAACCTAAATCCCATCACAGGAATGGTACAGATGTCCACCATGCTCTGAGAAACACTTTGAAGAATTCCTGTCAAAAAGGCATAACCTGAATCTAACCATGAGGATACTTTGGACAAATGCAATTGAAGGATATTCTACAATGTAAGTGACCTGTAAGAACTCCAAAAATGTCAAAGCCATGAAAGACAAAGAAAAACTGGAGAGAAATGACAACTAAATTGTGTGTGATCCTGGACTGGATCCTGGACCAGAAACAAAACATAGTTTTTTCTTTTTTTTTTTCTAAATAAGACATTAGGGAGACAATTAATGAAATCTGTCTATATAGAGTAGAATTGTATCCATCTTCATTTAGGAAATACACACCAAAGTATTTAGAGGTTAATCATATCTCCATTTTTATTCTCAATTAAAAAAAAAAAAAAACAAGAATACTGGTATGTGTATGTAAAGGAAGAATGACAAAGCATATGTTTAAAGCATAAATATTAATGTTTGGGGCTATGCAAAAATTCTTGTACTATTTTTATAACCTTTCTCTAAGTATGAAATCATTTAACATTTGAAAAAAAAGGAAACAAAAATAAATCTACACACACAATAAATGAAAACAAATAAAGCCAGTTAAGAGAAACTCATTTTCCCTAATAATAATGCTAGGATCGTATTTACTACATTCTGCTCATCAGATCATGAAATTTTAGAGCTGTAAGAAAAATGTATTATCTCTCTGAAAACAGTGAAGTTAAAGGACTTGCTCAAAATCTAGACAACTGGTTCAAGGCAGAGCCAAGACTACTATCCCGCTCTGACTCAGCTCTTTCACATACTGCACGCTGTCTCTTGATACTTTTCTATTGTCATCTACTCCCTAAACCTGTGACACACCAAAATATTTAGCTCTATTTTCTCATGTATTCTAGTAAGCTAGTGTAGCAAACCACTTTCAGGCAATCTAAATTTCATTTTAAAAAGCCACTTAGGTATTACTGCTTCTAACAATCTTTAACAACTAGTATCAATAAACCTGTTGAGTTCAGAACATATGCAGGATACTGTAGCAAACGCTAAAAAGGCAACACAGTCTACTAGTAGGTGATACTGTTAGGTCCATGATGATAGACACCAAGTCTGCATTATTCATCATTATAACCCAACCTCTCAGGACAATGCCTGGCATACAATAAAATTCAGATAATTATATGCTGCTAAATAAAAGACAATGCATAGTACAAGAAAGAAATGTGTGTACAGATAATCATAATATCCACAGTGATAAAACAAAGTGCCATGAACCAAGAAATAAAGTTAGTTTTGCTTGGTGAGATCTACAAAGGCTCCAGAAATTTAATGAAACCAAGTTGAGCCTTGAAAGATAAAGAAGACATGAAAGCAACAGACATGGAAGCAATGGGGTGGTGAGATGAAGGATAGAAGGAATCAGATAAAACAGACTGAAGGCAAGAAAATATGTGGCATTTCTATTGAATTTTTATTTAATTTAATTTTTTTTACTTTTTTACATTTATTTATTTTTGAGAGACAGAGAGAGAGAGCGCGTGAGCAGGGGAAGGGCAGAGAGAGAGAGAGACACAGAATCAGAAGCAGGCTCCAGGCTCTGAGCTGTCAGCAGAGCCTGACCCAGGGCTCGAACCCACAAACCGTGAGATCATGACCTGAGCCCAAGTCGGATGCTTAATTGACTGAGCCACCCAGGCGCCCCTCTATTGAATTTTTAAATACAGGCTTACCTATCGTTGCTGCAAGTTCTGGATCAAAAGTATCATCTGTGAACCTCAAGAGCAGGCTAAAAGAGATGTTAAAAACACAGATTAGAAATTTCTCTTTTTTTCTTAACCATGTATTACATTTTGTTACAAATTAGACACAAATAAGAATCGCTGACGTTGGTCTGCTCCCACAAATACTGCCTCAGTGCAGGTATATAAATACTGCTTCAATACAGGTATATTAAATTATTGAAAATAATTTAATTATTTATTATTATAATAATTTAATTCCAATAATTAAATTATTGAAAAGGCAATAAAAGAATCCCAAGAGCAAAATAGTTTACTTAATATAGTCCCCATGCTCCCCTACATAATTCCCAAGTGTGAAAAGATTTGGGCTGTGTTTTGGTTTTGGTTTTGAACTGTACTGGTACGTCCTTGTGAGAAAATAGTATCGGCAAAAACATTATACTGTGACATGGACAAAAGGGGGGAAAATAAGTCTTTTGGAATACAACAAATTAATGTTTTAAGTCTGATGTGTAATCCACTCTGAATTCTCACCTGTAAAATCATACAGGTGAGAAAATCTATCATTTTGTAACAAGTAGTAGGACTACTACCTAAGTGGGAAGAAAAGATCTAGCAAAAAGTGAGGGTAGACAGATCATACCAGAGACAGAATAACTATATTCTGGCAAATGCTAAGTAGGGTGTATGAAATCAAGTAGGCCACAGGGAGCTACTGAAAGCTTAAAAAAAAAAAATGGCAAGAAATGCTCTTACATTTTGAAAATGTAGAGAAAAGTTAATGACAGGAAAAAAAAAGCAAGAAAATTAACAGAAGACAACTGCCATGGTTATGGTGAGAGATAAGGACTAAATCCAGGAAACAGTAAAGAAACTAGAAGGGAAGAGATGAAATAAAAGCAAAAGACACCATTAGGAGTACTCTAAGATTATATATCTCCCAGAATTACTTATTTAATGTAAGGTAAAGTGCCAGTTATTAAAAGCTCTTCAAAAATAAAATCAAAACTTTTCTTAAAGCCCTGGATTTATAAAATTAATCAATCCTCCCTCACATCATCTCCAACAATAGGACTAGATTGTTCTATTCACCTGTAAGCATTAGTAAGATCAAGGAAATAGCTATCAGATGTTTGAACTGAAAAAAAAAATTATATATATATATGTGTGTGTGTGTGTGT